CACTTAAGATGAAGGCTTACAGGACAAAATAGTCTCCCATTTAACAGTTACTACAAATGTTGCCCTATGACAATGGTTAACAATCTCACAACACATCAAGAATATCCTTACTCTACTTTGTGTTCCCTATCATCAGCTTCCTACTCCCCTTCTGCCTTCTGGGCCTTGTCACTGGACTCCTGTACCTCGTTACTCTCATGGTTTTACTGGGCTGTCCACTCGCAGGCTGATCAGTGAACCTCGAAGGTAACTTTACCACTGAGCTAAAAGGGTGTCTGGGGGCCATACACTCGGGGTTTCTCCAGTCTCCTTTAGGCCAGTAAATCTGGTCTTTTTTTTTTGTGAGTTAGAATTATGCTCTACATCCTTCTCCAGCTCTGTCCAGAACCCTTTGTTGTGATCCTGGTCAGAGCAGTCAGCAGTGGTAGCCGGGCACCATCTAGCTGTACTGGACTCAGTCCGGTGAAGGTCTTGGTAGCTGTGGACAATTAGTCCTTTGGACTAATCTTTTCGTTGTATCCTGTTCTCTTCATTCTCACTTGCTCCCGAAGAGATGAGACCAGTGGAGTATCTTAGATGGCTGCTCACAGGCTTTTAAGACCCCAGACACTACTCACCAAGGTAGAATGTAGAGCATTATCTTTATAAGTAGTGTCATGCCAATTGAGCTAGATGTTCCCCGAGAATCACTGTCCAACTTTTGCATATATATGAGGCAATTGAAAAGACCATGGCTTGGGTCAGATGCATCTTAGCCATCAAAGTGACATCTTTGTTTTTTAAAACTTTAAAATGGTCTTTTGCAGAAGATTTGCCCAATGCAATACCTCATTTGATTTCTTGACTGCTGCTTCCATGGCTATTGATTTTTGATCCAAGAAAATGAAATCATTGACAACTTCCATGATTATGGGAGCACTTGATGACTTATTCATAATGGTGGCTAAGAGGAGAATAAGATTTATTGTTTCATTTTACAATAATTGTTGCCAATTGTTGGCCAATTTATGCTGTAAGAAGTTAGCTGAAAGAGACTATAGGATCTCTTAACGGAAATATTATTGACTAGGCTACCCAGCCATAGAAGGCACGGTATGGGATGTGCTTATCATACACCTTCACTCCCATGAAAGGCTCAACCAAAAGCTGGCTATGTTACTTTTAACTCATTTTTTACAAGGTGTTTCTATAGTATTTACTCTTACATTGCTCTTAGCTAGCATTAGACTTAAAGGAATTTCTTTTGTTATGAATCTGTGCACAAAGCTTTCACACAAGAAATACGACTCTACCTATCGCTAATTCTATACTTTATTCTGTAAAATACCTCATTTTAAACACATAGGAAATGAACCACCTAACTCAAACATTTCCCATTTACTGAAATAATCCCTTTTCTAGGGAAGATACGGTCCTATGCCTTCGTTCCCCAGATAGAATCAATTCCTCCCTTTAGAAAAAACATACAAGAGGTATCTTCGATTGAATTCTTTCAGAAGCTGACCCTGAGACCAGGATTTGAATGCAAGTATTGTAATTTGTTTGGATTGTGAGCCCAGAAAGCTACATTAGGGGAGTGAGACAAGTTAGGAAGGAAGCCAACTCAGAATTCCTTAAAGAGTAGGTTACTGCTGTGGGCAACTGAGGCTCAGTCCTAATGGGGAATCTCCAGGAAACAGTGTTGAATACAACTTAGCTTAGTCCCACCATGTGGGGAGGAAGGCCAGATGTTTTTTCCACCAACTCCCATCCTTGATTGGTTGAGGGCTCCTCCTGGGGGCATTAACTGCCTGGCACTTCCAGCCTGTCCTCCTACCCTGGCAAAGTGGGATCTGGCAGTCAGAGGAAGCCCTTGACCAAAGAGGCAGAGAGAGCAGGTGCTTGCAGTAAGATGCCATTCACCTGCTAAGAGGAAGCTGATGACACTTGGTTGGAGCCCCACGTAGAGCTCCAGCATTATCAGTACAGAGAGGGTACTTGGATTTTTAAGCCCATTGCTCGGATATATCCATTTTTGAGTCTAAATGTTACCTTTAAAAAAAAAATATTAAAAATGTGATGGCATCCTTTTAAAAGGTAGCAAGTGAATAGGTCATACACATAAAGATAGGCAACAGGGAGAAAATGCTTCTTAAGGCCTATTGACTTTTCACCTAGCAAATGGCCTTGCCTCCTCATTCCCTGAAAAAGAAAAAAGAAAAAAAGAAAAGAGAGAGAGAAACAAACATATTTTTAAAGGATCGGTAACGTTTAAACGGATTGAATTAGCACACGGTAACAGTCAGTGGAGTATTGGATGTTATTTAGAAGCTAAAAACTTAGTTGATTTACCCTATGAACTCGAGTATTTCCGAAAGGCAACAGGATAGAACTGTCTCGAAGTACTGACTTTTCATTATTTTCCACGCAGAACCCCTGAGGATAGCGGAAGGGAAGAGTTTGTCTGGGGGAGGGTAGGCTTCTCTCAAAAAGAGAATTCTGGAAGTCATCATAATTAAACAAAGAGGAAAATGTGCCAGACAGGAGTGGGTGGGGGCTGTTTTCTCTTTGTGGTTGGTTGTGGTGCGTTGGGATTCTTAATTAACCTAAGTTGAGGCTTCTGAGCTTCTCGTAGGCGAGTGGGTGCCCCAAAGAGTCAGGGCTCCACGAGGAGGCCACGCAGGTGTCCGGGCTCCCAACAAGGGAGAAAGCCAATGCACCTGGAGACGCCGTGGCCTTCCGGAAGCCCGACTCTGTGTCCTTGCGGCGGCTCGCTGAGATGAGAGGACCAGACTAGGCACGCCAAGAACTCGGCCGGACGAGCGCGGCTCTCACTCGCGCTGGCTCTTGCGCCTTCGGCCTCACGCAGCAGCCGAAGCCGCTGCTCTCCGCCTTCTCAGCGGCTGCTTTTTTTTTTTTTTTTAAATCTATTTGCTACCTCTTCTCTGTGACCCCAAGCCCAGCGCTGCACGAGTCCAAACTACAGAAACTCATTCTCTTAAGGAGCCGGGGAAAGCGCGTGCTCTTCTCGCCTCTGAATCGCGGGACGCCCCGCGCGCGGGCTAGAACTAGTGGCGCAAGGGGTGGTGCTCATCGTCCGGGAGAGGACAGGGAAGAGGGCATCTCTGGTCTCGGGATGCGACCGTCCCTGTTTCCTCCTCTGTCCCCCGTGCCGCGCGTGCTAACTCTAGGGGAAGTTGGGCTGCGAAGTTTCTAAGAGCGGCGTGGGCTCGTGCGAGGGAAGCACGGGGCGGGGTGCGCACGCGGCGAGGCGAGGACAGAAGCGTTCCTCGCGGTGTCTTTGTTCTGCTCCAGGGGAGAGATCTGGCGGGGAGTTGCGAGGCGAGTGTAGGGACCGCCAGCAGCGGCATTCCAGACCGAGCAGGGGCCCTTTGCTCTCCCCAAATCTCCTCCACCCCAGGCACACCCCTCTCTACCCAAGCCCTGCAAACTTCTCCCATGTCCTCCAAGCCTCCTTCTACGCCACCACTCTGCCCTCAAACTTCACCAATCCGCAAAGATTCGAAGTCTGGATGGGGAAAGGAAAGAGGGTGGAGGCGAAGGTGTGCGAAGGGCCGGATACCTCCAGGAGAGTGGGCGTTTGCTTTGGAATGTTTTTTTCCTTTGCCCTAGAAACTGCTGCCCCTTGCGGGTCCCGGTCTCTCCTGTTTCCCTCACCTTCCCGGCTTCCCTCTTCTTCAGTTCTAGTGGGATGTAGAAGGAAAATTAGAGCTGTTCTGAGTCACTCAGCGAGCCAATGATATAGTGGTCCGCAGTTGGGATGATGGTCGAGGGGTGGAATGAGGATGGGGTCCCCAATTCTGGAGGCTGGGGAACGACTGGGAAAGGAGTTGTGGACGGCTCCGGAGCCGGTCCCGGTCGGAGACACCTGATTTGTCCCGGGCCAGGCTTTGGGGGAGGGGTTAGAAGAGGGGATGCTCGGCAGGGACATCCCGCACCAGTGGGCAGAGAATGGGGAGGCGGCCAGGGACCCCGAATCAGGTCTTTGGGGCGAGGACAAGACTGAGTGGTGGAGGGATGAGACGGTCTTGGAGCGTTCGGCTCCAGGGTCCGAGGGAGCACAGTCATCCTTGAGAGCTTTGCCGTCTGTCGCTGTTTGAGATGAGGGGGAGTTCGGGGACTAGGAAGTGCTGGCGCGATTCTGGAGTTGGGAGTATGCCCTTGGAGACCCTGGACCCGGCTGCGCAGCGCCTGCAGCAACAGGTAGCCCCGAGGAGTAGAGGCCCCGGCCAGACGCCGAGCTGGGCTTTGTCCTGCGGATTAGAGGGTTCTCCAAAGGGACAGCGTGGGTGGGGGTGGGTGGAGGAGGAGAGTTTTCTAACACTTAGAGCCCCTTTGAATTGTTTTGATGTGTTGGGGTTGGAGGGGGGTAGTGAATCTGAGGGGAGGAACTGGGATGGAGAGCCTAGTGGGTGCCCCACCTCTGATTGTGTAAGCAACTTTGTCTTCTGGGGTGACCTCCTACCCTTCACATTTTGTCTCTCGGGATGATGAAAAACGGACCGAAACTCGATGCCAAAGTGGATTGTTCACACTGATTGGCAGGGAAAGTGCAAACAAAGAGGTGCATCTCCTGGAAACAATGCTTTTGGAGATTTCCCCCGCAGACTTGTGCGCCTTGGGGCGGGGGGGACAGTAAACGGGTAGGTGGGTGGGGAGGGGACCAGGAAAAGCATCTCCTGGAGAAAGTTTCGACGTGGTAGTGGGAGGAGAGAGTAGGGGCAGAGTTGCGCGGAACTGGGGACTGAGCAGCCCCGGCTCGCCTCCGAGGTTCCCTAGTCGGGCGGGAGATTCGGGGAGAGGGAGGGGGCGGGGAGGGGAAGGGAGGGAGAAAGGAAGAAGGGGTGAGAGGGAGAAACCTGCCGCCGCTCGCCGCCTCTTTGTCTGCTCTGGGACTTGGAACAAAAGGGGGAACTCTGATGAACTCTCTCTCCTCCCCTCTCACCCGGACGCTGGGGTATCTCCTTCTCAACTTTGCCGCCTCGACTTTCTCCGCTGTCAGGCCACAAAAAAATTGTCCTAGCGCCTTGCGGACTGCAGCAAGGGAAATGTCTCTTCAGAGTGCGACGTAGTGGAGAAGGTGAGTGGGGATTGTTGTCCTGTTTATCTGTCTTCCTCTTAACTCGTCCTGCTCCCCGCCCTTGGGAGGACAGGGGGTAGACAGTGGCAAAGTTTGGCTGCTAAGTTTGTACCTCGTTTTCCCGGTTCTCTTCTCTTTTGTTCTTTAGCGAACTTGAACAGATTGCTTTATTTCTTTATTTTGAATAGGCAAAAGCCAAGCAGGCATTTGTCTCATGTGCTTCTTTATATGAGGAACTGGGGGGAAGGAGAGAAGAGTATCTAAAAAGGGCATTGCCTAGCTTTCTCCCAGCTGTGTGTATATCGGATGGAAATAATCCTGAAATTGATGGGGCAAGTCCAGTCCCACCCCTGTCCGAGCCCCGGCCTTGATATGGATGTGTGTGGAGGGGGTCCCTTCCTCAGCATTTTATAACTTAGCTGTCTGCGGAGCGCTTTGCAGCTCCAACGCACAATACAAAAGGCTGCAACAATAGAATTTAGAAGAGGTTCGGGTTGTAGGAGATTGGACCCTTGTGTTTGCGGTCGAGGGGGTTACAAAAAACAGGTAAGAGTTCAGAAAGTTTTCTTTGGGGCTGGAGTGGGGTGGAGGAAGCCACAGGTTCCAGATTGTCAGAGATGCGGGGATGAAAGCGATGGGGAATGGGCCACTAGTTAGAGTCCGCCATCCTGTTCGCCCCCTTTAGTTCCACGACCCACTCAGAATAACCTATGCTATCCCTGTGATCCATTATCACCTCTTTGACTTCACATACCGTCCCCAAATTTCAGTGCGTCAGAATAGAAGGGGAACAGCAGCCCAGAAGTTCCTGAGACCTGGCCAGCCGCCCCGCCTTTTGTGTTTTAACCTTTTGTTTCTATCAGCCACGCCCGCCCGCCTAAAAGTGGGATGGCTGTAACTGCTTCTGCGGGGTGGAGATTCCGGGCAGTTGCTGAGTGCTCCCCTTCGTGTTTATGGGCAGAGGGAGACTCCCTAACTTTGTTTCCTAAAAGTAGCTTAACTTCAGAATGTGTCTAGATTGGTTGTTGCTTACATGAGGCAAACACTCAACAATTAGTAAGCATTCCACTTAACATAAAAGTAGTAAATATCTCCACTTCATATAAAATTTCTTTCAGCACTTTTCCAGTTTACCACCAAAGTTGTTTATCCTGCCCTGTCTCTTGGTTAATAGAAAAGACATCCTAGAGGTAGAAGTTGGGGGTTTGTTAAAGGTGGGCAGATGTACAACTAACTGTCATGTGTTTAAATGTCGGGAAAGTGTGAGACAAACTTCTTGAATTTTACAGTGTAAATTTAGGTCATTTGCCTCAGGTATGTTTTGTGGGATAGTTCCAAATAGCAAGGTATTTATCACCTTCTCCACTTTCCCTCTTTGTTGTATCCCCACCCTAATCCTAGAGGCTTTGTTCACATCCTGTGACTTATCCACCGCCTTTCCCCAGTTTGACAAGACAAATGAAACATCAAACTCACGGTATGGCTGATAGATGGGGGAAACACCCAAACACAGCCTTTTATTTTTAACTTCTTAAAGTTATCATTTTGTGTAGTAGCATCTAGTATTTAAAACTTAAAGCTAGAAATGATTCAAGAGCTAGAACTATGTCAGTTTGAACTTTCGGGTCAAACACCGAAATATACAAGTGCTGTGTTACTTTTTTTTTGTTTAATTAGAAACTGAGTGTGTTGAATGACTTGGAAGCTAACCTTAATTAATTTTATTTGTATAGGTGTAACTGTTGTTATCAGCATCTAGAAAGCACCATTCAGTTGCTGGAGTACTTTCTAACACTGACCTTCTCCATACTGCATTGTTCTTAATGGATCTTGCTATCAGCAGACAATATGGAAGTACCATCATAACATCAAGTCATTCCTGGGTGAAAAATTATCATACTTCATTTGGAGTTACTTGAAAGTTAAATGTGATTTTGATGATGCCTTCACTATGTGGATTACTACATTTTGAGCACTGGGAATACTCTGCCTTAAAGAAGGTATGTTTCTTTTTAGATACTCCAAAAGCACTTCATTTTTGGACTGGTGCTTATGTTATTAGAGAAATGTCTAGTTATTTTGAGCTGTTGCCTGATCAAAGGGATTTATGACTTTGGATTTCCTTGTTTTGAGCTGGTTTTTATAAGTCCTTTTTTATTTGGAATGATGATCTTGGTACTTCTGATGAAACATTATTAATTTTACAATGTGTAATTCAACATTAGCACACATAATGAATGCGGATTACATGATCACTAAGGAAAGTTATGTAACATTGATGGGTCCAGTAGGCAAGTGTCCTATTTTATTTATGATTGATTTTGTTCTAAAATATCTAAGTGTGATCGGTGTCTCTGTATTAGAACATTCTCGTGGTTTGCTTTTTTTGGTACTTCATTTTGACAAACAAAATCCAAAAATGGTCAGAAATAAATGATTTTCTAATGCACAGGACTCAATACAAAGTACAATAAGTTCTATCAGAATGAAAACTTTGACTATATAATAACAGATTCTGTAAATTTGTTTAGTCTTTATGGCATATATCAAGTTTTTTATAGTTGTCATTAAGATTTATTTTTGTTGATCTCTGTGAGAAAGCAGTTAAAATTTCACATAAATACTGTTAGTAATATAAAAAGTTTCTTTTGATACGGTGCTTACTTTCTTGTTTAGCAGTTGTTTGCCATGGGAGGTGAGAGTTTTCTTTAAGTTGCTTTGAAATGATTTAAATTGTAGTATTTGATCCTCAAAATGATTCTGGCTCAAGGTGGTTTTAAATCCTCCAGATGGAGAATATCATTAGTATGTTAGTATAGTTGACAAATTGTTAAGGTTTAGTCAAAGAAGTTGGGAATTGGAAATATTTTTTAACCTGCTTTAAGTAAAAATGCATTATGATATGCTTCTTTCTAGTTGTATAAACTCAGGTAAGCTACTTATTTCCCTGGGCTTCAGTTTGTCTATAAAATCAAGATTAGGTTAAATATACTTTAAGAAATCATTTAGTTTTAAGATTCTATTATTTATTGATTGCTCCTGGAATTCAGGTACATTCTCTCTTGTGAAGTTTGTTTTTGTCTTTTAATTGTTGAACAGTAAAAGTTACTGCTTGGAAAACTTCATGTGAATTAATTGCAGTTATTTGTATGAATGCTTAGTTCAAGGAATATTAGTTGAGGAAATATGCTTTAAATTTTCTGTAAATATATTTTTAAAAAGGTGTACTGTATGGAAATATCAGATTCTCTTAAATGTTCTCCACAAAAGTTTATCTGCTGGAATGATTTTTGCGGGGCGGAGAGTACAGTATTATTTCTTAACAAGTGTTTTACCTATAAATGTCTGAAGTGAATATGTTTCGATGTGTTCTAATGACTACTCAGAGTTGGGCTCAGAGGTTTAGAAACTGGCTTTGGAATGAAACAGACCTGAATCCCAGTCAGGGGCCTATTTACGGAAAATAACGCCTGTGGCAATTAGTTTAAAATTGCTGAATGATCTCTCACAGCTGGTGATGGAAACTGTGATGGCCAATAGAAACTGCTCATTAGCGTCCCTCCTCAATAACTGCCCAGGGCATGCGCCCTACCTGCCATGGCTTAGTTATGCCTTTGCTTCAGACAGATTACTAACTGATAATTACCAACTGCCAGGTTACTTCTATGGGTCTCAGTTTCCTCATTTGTAATGTGGAGATAACAGCACCTATCTCATAGGGTTGTTGTGGGGAATATATTTTTTAAAAGCATCTGCAAGAAAAAACAGAGGACTTAACACCTGTGAATATGTAATGAAAGATACTGTTATTAGCTTTTACAGTGAATTAGTGACTTTTTAGTACTTTTAGCTTTTTGAGTTAACTATTCTAAGTTTCAAGCCATATGAACCAAAAATTTTCACTAAAATTTTTAAAGTTAATTTGGACAGATGGCTGCACATATTTAAATATGTTTTTCTCGGGAAATATATTCTATTCAATTATTTTATCCAGTTAAGTATGATTTACTTGAACAAACATATATTAAGTCTTGCTATGTATAAGCATGTTGCTGAATGTTATAGCTTTATCTTGGAATATGTGGCCCTTCCATTTTCTTACAGGAATATCTATAAATTGAGATAATAGCTACTTTCTAGAATTATTTTGTTCCAATTTTCTATTTTCAATACTGTCACTGATGAGTTGACTTAGACATAGTTTCAAAATTTTATCCATTTGCTTTTCAGCTAAAATATAAAGTGATGGCTCAGTGGTTTCTTGATGATGAAATCAAGACCTATAGTGTATTTACTTTCTTTTTTGGTTTTCATTTTATTTGTTAAGCACAGTAGACAGTTTAAAACAAAATCAATGAAGTCAGCCTATTTTTTTAATCAGAAAAATTTAAGATTTGGACCATTTCTAATGGGGTTTTCTACTTCCAATTAAAAATATAATTTACTTTCTTCTTCCCTATGGCATTTATTATTTGTGTTATTTATTTAACAATTAATCCTCTGCTACTATGCCATAAACTCTTTGATGAAATGTCCATGTTTTCTTCAGTTCTTATCCTCCGTGGTCATTTTCTTTCTGTAGATGCACAATGAAGGAACAACGAAAGCAGGGAGGGAAGTTAGACGAGACAACAGAGGAAATTCTTATCCAAGGTTTTTACCTACAAGAAATGTTATAAAAACCATTTTGAACTTTGACAGCACTGTCTCTCCATTTGCTTTTTTTTTTCTTTTTCTTTTTCAATTATTGTAGTTTAAGTGAAAGTTTACAATTAAAGTTAGTCTCTCATATAAAAATTTATACATACATTGTTATGTGACCCTAATTGCTCTCCCCATACTGTGACAGCACACTCTTCCTTTCCACCCCTGATTTTCCACGTCCGTTCAACCAGCTCCTGACACTCTCTGCCTTCTCATTTCACCTCCGGACAGAAGCTGCCCATTTAGACTCATGAATCTATGTGAGCTAAGAAGCACGTGCTTCACGAGTATCATTTTATGTCCCACAGTCCACTCCAATCTTTATCTGAAGAGTTGGCCTCGGGAATTGTTTTAGTTCTGGGTTGACAGTCTGTGGGCCATGCCTTCTGGGCTTCCTCTAGTCTCAGTCAGAGCATTAAGTCTGGACTTTTTACCAGAATTTGAGTTCTGCATCCCACCCTTTCTCCGCTCAGTCAGGGACTGTCTGCTGTGTTGCCTGTCAGGGCAGTCACTGATAGTAGCCGGGCACCATCTAGTTCTTCTGGTCTCAGGCTGATGAAGTCTCTGGTATATGTGGACTTTCTGTCTCTTGGGCTAATACTTTCCTTGTGTCTTTGGTGTTCTTCATTCGCCTTTACTGGAGGTGGTTGGGACCAATTGATGCATCTTAGATGGCTGCTTGCTAGCTTTTAAGACCGCAGACGCCACTCAAGAAAGTAGGATGCAGAACACTTTGTTTATAAACTTTGTTATGCCAGTTGACCTAGATGTCCTCTGAAAACACGGTCCCCAGATCCCCGCCCCTGCTACTCTGTCCCTCGAAGTGTTTGATTATATTCAGGAAACTTCTTAGCTTTGGTTTAGTCCCGTTGTGCTGACTTCCTCTGTGGTGTGTGCTGTCCTTCCCTTCACCTAAGATAAATCTTGTTTACTATCTAATTAGTGAATAACTCACCCTCCCTGCCCACCCTGGTAACCATCAAAGAATGTTTTCTTATGTGTTTAAACCTTTTCTTGAGTTCTGATAATAGTGGTCTTATACAATATTTGTCCTTTTGTGACTGACTAAATTCACTCAGCATAATACCCTCCAGATTCCTCTTTGTTATGTTTCACGGCTTCATCGTTGTTCTTTATTGTTGTGTAGTATTCCATTGTGTGAATATACCATAATTTGTTTATACATTTGTCCGTTGATAGGCACCTAGGTTGTTTCCATCTTTTTGCTATTGTGAACAGTGCTGCAGTGAACATGGGTGTGCATATATCTATTCATATGATGGCTCTTATTTCTCTAGGATATATTCCAAGGAGTGGGATAGCTAGATTGTATGGTACTTCTATTTCTAGCTTTTTAAGGAAACACCAAATCAATTTCCAAAGTGGTTGTACCATTTTATGTTCCCACCAGCAGTGTGTAAGTGTTCCAGTCTCTCCACAACCTCTCTAACATTTATTGTTTAGTGTTTTTTGGATTAATACTAGCCTTGTTGGGGTGAGATGGTATCTCATTGTAGTTTTGATTTGCATTTCTCTAATGGCTAATGATCGTGAGCATTTCTTCATGTGTCTG